AGGAAAAAGGAAGAGAAGGAGAAAGGGAGAAAGAGGGATAAGTCAGTAGGAGGACAGGTGGATAGGAAAAATAATAACAGGTTAAAAAATGAGATGGGGTCAGACTCTGTTGGAGGTCTTTTATAGTTGGAGTAAAGAGTTAGTGTTGAAGGGTTTTAAGAGAATATGTGTGGGGGTAGGGGTGGGATGTAGGGGGAGGGAAATGTAGTTTGGGATTGAGGAAAGCTATGACATTGTTAGAATCTGTTGGTATACAAGCAGGTGGTGCATCGCTGAGCTATATCCCCAGCCAGAATTTTGGTCTTTTCTAAGAGGACCATGAATGGTATCATTCAAGTTGAAGCACTGGTCTGCTCTTATTCTCTCTCTTTTTTTTTTTTGCAGTACTGGGGATTGAACTCAGGAGCTTGCGAGGCAGGTGCGGTGCCACTGAGCTAAATCCCCAGCCCTCTTATTCTCTTTGTTTTTACAAATACAAGTACCTGCTATATATATGTCACATGAAAGGCAGAGAAGAGGAGAGGAAAGATGGGAGGGTAGGTAAAATAAGCAAGAATGAAAAGAGCAGAATCAGGAGAACAGAAGGTTAACAAGAGAAAAGAGAAGAAAGACCAAGAGAGAGCAGAATATTTAAAAAAAACTTGAAAAGATAAAACTAAAAAGTACAAAAAACAGGTAAAAATAGTATTGATACAGAAATGGGAATTAAATCAAAGGAATGAGGAAAAGGAGAGAGAGAGAGAGAGAGAGAGAGAGAGAGAGAGAGAGAGAGAGAGAGAGAAATACCCAGTGAGAACCAGAACTGAACTCCAACAAGTAACAGTACAAGCAATGGTCACGTGGCCACCGTGTCCTAAAGCCAGGGTGTCTACACAGGTCCCTCCCTGCTGCAGTCACACCTGCTTGTGGGCAGCCACAGCAGTTTTCCCGCCAGCCTGCCCAGGAATGGGGAGGGGTGTCAGTTTCTTGAAGCCCGCCACCTTGATGAAAGCTGTGGTTGTGGCATGATTAACTGCAGTCTTTTGTCTCTGTCCCAAGATCCAATCACCTCAATTAATTTGGCAAGAGAAGGATGTGAAATAATTTTCCTGATATCCAGCTCTCCTTTACCTTCTGCCAATGTCCTGGAACTCCTTCCCTTGCTGCTGAGCAAATTCCGTGGTTGTCTCCATACTCTCCCTTGAGAAATTTTCCATCTAATATGTCGCCAGACATTCTCAGCCCCAGCATTGAACCTTCCAGCAGGGACCCATGGACCCATTTTCTGCCTCTGCTTTTCCTTTGTGTTCAGATCCTGAAGTGTCTCTGTCTCAAGAGCTCCCTTTCTAGCCTGCAGAATCTGGCACAATTCCTGGGGTGGGTTTAGGGATTCCTTTCCCCCATGCATGATGGTGGTCACTGTTTAGGAATTCTTGCTAACTCAGATTTTCTGGTCTTTGTGGAGATGAGGGGGAGGGCACCCACTCTGGACCAACCGTTCAGTCTCCCTCCCTCCCCTCTGTTTTTAGGGTGTGATCTGTGGGTCCCTGCTGGCAGGTTCAGTGTTGCCTGGAGTGCTTAGTGTTTGGCATCTCTGCCTGCACCTGTGGGATGCCCTGGCTGGTGGTGAGTGGTGAAGAAGACACTCCTGGGATGCAGTATTCCCTGATGTTTGGGGAAGGGGGCTGGAATACAAAAAGCCTGTCCCAGGCCTCTGGTCCTGCAGCACTGGCTCCTTTCCTCTGGCTGTGGAAATGTGCTCCTCGGAGGATATGGGGAGGGGGCTGCAGATCAGTGGCTGCTTCCCCTTTCCAATGACCTAGATACTTGGTTTGATCTCTATGGATCATCTTCCAGACCGATCTTTCATTTCTGAGTGCAGATGTTTTGTGCATGCGTGAACCCTGTGTTTTCAGTCACTCCTCTGTGGTATCTCTAACATGCCTCCTCTCCTCATTAGCCATGTTGGATCTAGGAGTCTTCCTATCATTCCTTTTTTCTCCTGTATTCCTGAACGTTGTTGGCCACATTGTATCTAGTTGTTTTTATATGCATTTAGTAGGGGCCTTACATCTTTTGTGTTCCAGTATGAAATCATCAGGAAAATATGTAAACAATTAGATAAATGTATAATATTACTAAAAAGATAAACTTGAAAATCTGATCATAATGAGCTTGCAGAGAGAAATCTAGAGAAACAAACTCAGCCTACAGTGGATGTGACAGCAAGAGGATTAGCATCTGTGCTACGGAGACTCAAGGTGTGGAGTCAGAACAAGGGCTCAAATGTCAGTTCTTCCCTTATTTCCTGCGTAACCTTAGACAAGGTATATGCCCCAGGTCTCAGTTTCCTCACCTACAAAATGGAAATAATAAGATCAACTCCAAGACCTTCTCAATAAGGATGTAATAAGCTAATTGATTTAAGGGGCCAGGATGGTACCTAGACACGTAATAAATGAACACCAGCTCCCATTCACTGGCTCTTTAGAGGGCATCACCCACCCTGGTGAGCAGACAGAGCTCAGGGGAACTGAACAAATGGATATATTCTCCTCTAATGATTTTTTTTTTGTACTAGGGATCGAACTCAGGTCCTTGCGCTTGCAAGGCAGCTGGCAGAAACCACTGAGCTAAATCCCCAACCCTCTAATGATATTCTTAAAGTGCTTGCTTTGGGGCCCAAGGGTGTGGCTCAGTGGCAGAACACCTGCCTGAGGCCCTGGGTTTAGCCTCCACCCAAAAAGAGAACTTTCCTTGGAAATCTTCCTGGAATTTAAAATATTAATGAATCAATAATCAGCCTTTATCAAATACCTTCAATGAGTGAAGAGGTGGGGATTTCTTTTTAGGATGAGAACAGTATATAGAAAAAGCTCAGGGCCTATCCAGATACCACAGTTGAAAAAGAGGCCATTCCAAAGGAACGGAAGAGATGGTCCCTTCTAAGTCAGCTTGGCTGGAAGACAGAAAAGTTAAGAACACTCGTGACCTATGCATCTATCAAGATTCAGGAAAATGTACCTTGTATCTGTGGAATCATGAGACACCCACAAAGAGGGCAGAAAGAGCCCCTGGTCATGAGAGACAAGGTTGCTGAAATGGAGGGTGAATGAATGCAGAGACACCCAGAAAATCTAATGGATGACATGTAAACATATTTAAGAAAATTGCCTTGAATTCAGAGAAGGAAAAGGATTAAAATGAGAGAAAGTGGAAGCGATATGGAAGGGACTGAGAAGACCCAACCATTTTGCTACAGATCTCAGGAGCAGGCTGCTATGGGGAAGCAGGAACACAGCAGGAAGAGGGGCCCAAGACTCGGGCTAAGGTAGGCTGTAGCCTGCCCGGCGGCTGGAGGGACTCAGTGGCCATCTGTTGCCCAGAGCCAGGTCTCACTGCAGGGCTGGCTGTCTAGAGGGAGCACACACACATCATGAATCCCTGAGCACCAAGCCAGGCCGGCCGAGTGTCTAGGTGAGATCAGTGGACCCCTCTGGCCAAGGTTTACTGCTCTGAGGGCTCCTCTGCCACAGGAGGGTGCAGAGAAACTGAGAAAAGCCCTTTCCTTTCTGTAAGCTGCCCTGTCCATTTCTCCATTCCAAGGCTCTAATGACTGGGTTGCAGTACCATGGCCACTCCAGTATTACCTATGCCCACCCTGCATCTAGTTTCCCACCTGAAAAATGGGAACATGCACTAAAGCAGGCTGACTGCAGGAACGACTGGGCTGGGCCCATGATTCCTGCCAGCCTTGGGGTGAACCATTAGGAATGACCACCAGGGGCAGGTTGGAGATGCCCGGCCAGAGTGCCAGACATTTGCTGTGCCTGCTAGAAAGTGTCATCAGTTCCTTATGACAGGAATGTCTTCTGATTGCAAATTCCGCTCTGTTCTCTTTGCTTCTCCTGCACTTCTTGATGGGAGCTTTAGGTGTGACTCGTGTCTTCTGGGCATCAACCAGAGGCTTCTGGTTGATGAGAGGAGATTCTCTTTTCTGTCCCAGGGAGATGTGTCCACTTTGAGTCTATTTGTCCTCAAAGCCATACGTCCACTGGGTAGGTGGAATGAGCCCTCTCTGTTCTCAAGGTGCCAGTAGTCGGCCATGCAGAAACCCTGCCCATAGCTCTGCAGGGGGAGAGTCCAGTCATGTGGTGTTGGGAGTACTGGGGACTAAAGGAATAAAACCAACTGTGCCCACCACAAGGCCACCTTTCCAGCCCTACCCATCACCACGCACTGTGGAGCACTATGTTATTGAAGAAAACCCAACTGTGCTATAAAAAAATTAAAAGTAACCAGAAGGGAGATGAAACTAAGCATAGGACAAACAGCTTGTGAGACATAGTGGACACGTGAGCTAGCATGCACAGGTCCTGAGCGCTGGAAAGGTGCATTAGGTGGGGCTGTCTGAACAATGGGCTGGTGTTAGGGTGAGCACTCTGTGCATCCCCAGAGGTTAAGGGTGAGTTGCAAGCTCGGGGTTCAGAGCTGGGAAGGGTCAGAGGGCTGAGGGCAGGGCCAAGAAGGGGTGAGAGGGTCAGGAGGAACCCTATGCTCGGTACAGGGGAGGGAAGCTGCATCACCGGGGCTCCTGGGCTGGGAGAACCGAGGCCAGCTGGGCACCAGCCCCATGTTCCCAGGGACTCCTGACAAACACAGTGGCCCTTGAGCACTTGATTTTTCAGTGTCTTTGAAATGTTCTATGTATTCATTTTGTAATGAGGAGAGGAAAAATAGTTATTTTAAAAAGTATGCACAAAGTTTAATTCCCAATATTATGTTTTAAATAGCCTAAAAATAACGCATAGGTACAAAACAAACTGCAACGGAAACTAAGCCAAAGCATGAATCCAATCAGACAGTAAAACTTCAGAAAGAAAACAAACATTCCCAAATCCCAAATGCTGTGACCCAGCATCATCAGAGCCCCAGGGCTGGCCCACCCCATGCCTGCCTGTCTCAGGTGGTGACATCTCTGGAAAGCCACCGGTCCCCCGCACCAGGTGAAGGGCACTTACTTGATCATCTGTGGCACGGTGACCTTGGAGTTTTCCTCAAAGGCGTTCATCATGAGCCCGTTGCACCGGATATTGTCCACGCACTGGAAACAGAGGGGCCCAGGGTCAGGGCCTTGGACTCCACCCCAGGATCTAGGCCCCCAGGAGCTCTGTGACAGAGGCTTACATGCCCAGCCCAACACAGGGTCCTGTCTTCAAGGGCATTGTCTGGAGGGCAGGGTGGACACAGAGGGAGGTCAAGGCCCAGATGAATGTCCTTGGCAGACTCACCCGGCTCCCTGAGTTTCACTTTTTCTGCTGTTAAGATCCACCTGACACTGACTCCTCTGCCACCCACCCTGAGATCTGGAGAGGACAAGACCAGCCCTGCAGAGCTCTGGGCTAGCTCTCCCACCTTCTGCCCTCTGCCTAGCCAGTGCCAACACTCTGAGGCTTGTCTCCAACTGCAAATCTGCACACACGGGGTGCCTGGGGCTTAGGGAGGTGGATAGTGAGGGAGCTCAGCCCTGGCAGGGGTTGTGGGCCTGGGGACATTTTGATCTTTTGAAGAACAGTGTAGCTGCTCCCTTTTGCCAGCCCCTGCCCTAGGTGGGGCACAATGGCACACTACTCACCTGGCTGATGTCACTCGTCCACGCTGCCTTCTCCTGCCTGGATGAGGCCACCAGGATGACTGTGAAGGGCGGGGAATCCTTGGGCTCCACCCCAATCTTAAAATCCAAGTGGTCTATGTCTTGTCCAGATCCTTTGGCTTCCGTCATAAGACATGAAGTTGGCAGAGTGAGTGTGGGGACTTTTGGAGCTGGCAAACATTTCACTGGTCCCTGTCATACCCATGGCAGGGCCTATGCATTGGTGGGTGCCAGGCCACCGGCTGTCGCTCTCCCAATGTATTTTTTCCTAAGTGGGGGATCCCCATTTCAAACATGAAAACAGAGACCTGGAGTGCAGAAGCAGCTTGTAAGAGCACGGAGGCATCCCTGGATTCAGAGGCAGAGGCTCAGATCTGGCCTCTGTTCTCCATGCCCAAGTGAGGACCGAGCTCAGTAGGGTGGCCATTAAGTCAGACCGGAGCCGGCTGCAGGCCTTGCCCCTGGATTGTCCTCCTACACAAGCGCACTGCGCAGCAAGGAGCTGACGTCTGAAACTGTTACGACTAGCTGGACGTTTAGTCCAGGTTAGAGCTCCCCTATGTAAGAATAAATTCTAGGTATTTTATTACTGCTCTTAACCTGCAAAGTCTCTTGAATACTTGAAAGCTTTTTATGGGAAAGACTATGGTCATAGTTTAAGGACTCTTCTAAGTATCTCCATTCACTGGCTGGGGGTGGAGCACTGCAGAAGCTCCTGGCTGCTCTGCACTCACTGCCATGTAACTTGGGACCAATGTGCTCTGTTGCCCAAGAGTGGATGGAGACTCTGCGTCCCTGTTCTGTCTGACTCTGACACTCAGGAAGTTCAGAATTCCCTGCCGGGCACAGGAAAGTGGGTTCTGTGGGTGACTTGGGGGTGATGCTGTTTCACTAAGAAGTAGGGTGTCTGTGGGGTGGGTTTTGGTGGGATTTCAGGGCCAGGTCCCCACCTCCCGGGATCCAGGAAGGAAGAGAGCTTTGGGGTCTGACAGTGCCACCTGGGTCTGGGCTTTCTCAAGGGCCAGCTGTGGCCAAGACCAGAGAAGGTCATTCTGGTGAGAGGGATTCAGCCAAGTTGCTGTGCACACCTGTCCTTCCTTGGGGAGCCCTGGGCTCAGCCTCAGGGGTGCCCAGCTACAGCTTGGTGATCCCCATGTCTAAGACCAGGCTGTGCTGCCTGGGTGATGAGGAGGTATGGGCCTAGGCCCTCCCAAGGAGCCCAGTGTGGGGCTGGCCTGTTGGGTTGCCCAGCAGGTGTCTCTGAGCCTGGGTAGAGGCCATGATGAGATGAGGGCCAACTCAGGCCCCACCAGTGAGTAGTGACCTTTCCCCTTCCCTTACCCAAACAATGACCCAACTCGGACTAGCACCTGGGAGGAAATCCCATAACATACAGATCATGGCTGCCCCAGCCCCAGGGTTCTGCCCAGAGGCCTCATCAGTCTTAGCCTGATTCGTTGTTCTCTCTTCTCTCAGGGTTTGGTTTCCCCTCCTGGCTACGCAACTCCCACTGAGGGGATAGCTCCTCTCTCAGAACCCTCAGGCCTGTACCTCCTCTATCAGTGGTACTCATTTCCCTGCTGCAGTTTGAATTTGGAAAGCTTAACAGTCAAAGCAACAGGGTTGAGAGCTGGGACTTTTAAGAGGTGATGAATGTATTGTTCTTTAAGTGGACTCATTACTGTGGGAGGGAACGGGGTTCCTATATCAATGAGCTCCATCCCCTTTTCTCTCCTCCCTTCCTCTCCCACCAGGTGATGTCTTCTGCCAATCTGTGACACAGTGAGGGGACCTTACCAAAGGAGACCCTTCACCTTGGATTTCCCAGCCTCTAGAGCCAAAGAGACTTCTACTTCTTATAACTCACCAGCCTGTGCTGGTGTTACACAGCAACAGGCCAAGACACCCCATCCCATCCTTTCCTCTTGGGTAGAGCTGGGGCCCTGTGATGCCTTGTGAGCGTACTCTTGGGTGTATGTGTGAGAGGTGTGCCCTGTGAACACCCAGCCCCCAACCCAGTGGCGTCAACCGACCCTCGAAGGTTGGAAGAAGTCAAGGAGGTGGGCCAAGGCTACCCCCTGCTGGCTCTGCAGCACCTGCTTTTCTCCCAATCAAGGCCAATGTTGGGCCAATCTTTCTGGGGAGCACACAGGATGTCCAGCACACTGACCTTCCTCTTCCGCACTTTCCGGGTCCTCTAGCAATGTGCAGTCGATGAGAGAGATGACTCCATTCTGAAAAAGAGCAGGAGACACACCCTGGACCAGGGCCAATGTCTTTTAGGAGTTCCAGATATGAGGGTTGGGAGGGGCTTGAATAGGATGTCTAAGCACACGTGGTGTATGTGTGGGTGTGTAACACGCCAAGTGAGTATTCCACCTTGCAAGGCAAGAACTTTGTCTTCACATCAAGCCCAATGAAGAGGGTAGAACAAGACTGCCTCAACAGGGGCCGAGGTTGGGACTGGGCAGGGGTTGAGTCTGTGCCATTTGACCTCCTTCTGTCCCCACAGCATCTCTGAACATCACTTCAGAGCCCTAGGTCTACAGAAGCTGGAAATCTCCCGTTCTAGGCCAAACGCCTCATGTTACCAACAGGGAAACAGGCCGATTTTAGGGACCAATCATAGTATTGTTACTCTGATTTTACAGATGAAAAAATGAATTCAGAGTGTGTATGTGTCTTGCCCAGTTATCTGGCCAATTACTGGTGGGCTCTGGAGAGCCTTGGGCTTGGTTCCCGCTGGGTGTGCTGCTCATTTCCATCATCAGGGCATCTGGCAAAGGGCCTCCCGCCACAGAACGTGAGTGTGTGAGGTGTGGGATCCTCTGAGACTGTGGTGAGGAAGAGAACAGCCTGTGGTGCTCTGACCCACACCTGTAGATTCTCTGACCCTCGTCCTTTCCTAGGCAAAGCCTAAGTCCCCTCCTCTTGGGTCGGGCTGGCCTCAGGGACTGAGTGAAGTGGAAGTGATGGTGTGCGAATCTGGAGGTTCAGCCTGTTGCCTGCTCTCTTGCTATCTCTTGAATCACTTGTTCTGGGAAAGCCAACTGCCATGCTGTGGGGAGAGGTGTACAAATGAGAAACTGAGGCCTCCAGCTAATGGTCACGCATTGCCATCTTGGAAAAGGCCTCTGAACCCAGTCATGCCTTCAGAGCACTGTGGCCCCAGCAGGGGTCTTAAAGTGAACTCCTGAGCTGAGACCACTGGGGAAGTCACCGTGACCCACAGAAACAATAAAGCAGCAAGTGTTGGTCCTGAGTTCCTGCAGTCTGAGGATGATTTGTTACATAGTAACTGACCATAACAGAGGCCTGGCCATGAGGGTCATCTGCCATGGGAAGGCTTGCAGGGCAGGCTGCCCCTCGGGAAGCAGAGGGAGAACGCATTCGGATGGGCTCCAAATGCTGGGCTCTGCCTCCTGCATGGCTCTTTGGTGGCTTGGGGAGCTGGCCCTTGATATCCTTGGCTTGATGGTCTTGGGAGCCTCATCAGCTCTGACCTTCTCTTCCTTGAAGTCCCAACACAGCAGTTCTCACAGTAGTGTTAAATCTAGCAGATTTGTAGCCTTCTCTCTTCCATAAAGAATGGGGACTTCAATTTTGGCTCCTAGCCATAGGAGGATGTGTAATAGCAATTAAGAATACAGATTCTGAAGCCAGCCTGCCTGGGTTCAAACCCCAGCTCTGCAACAGACTGGTTCCTGTCTCACCTCATGAATCTATAAAACGGGAAGTGGAATAGTGCCGCTCAGTGGGCCGCTGTAGGAATTAAATGCACACATCATACCTAGAATAGTGCTTGGCTCTTATGCAACGGCTATTAGTACTGCCATAAACTCATTATCATACAAGTAAAAGGTGACATCACCTATGGAGCACTCACTATGTCCCAGGCGTGGGACTCCCCCACTTCTGGCATTCCTGGGCAGGAGAAATTTCACATCCCTTAGCAGATAAGGAAACTGAGGCTTCGTGAGTCACATGATTTGTCTGGGTCCTACTGGCACATGGCTGCACTAGAGGTTGAGCAAAACCCTGATTCTGTGTGCTTTTCCAGTATGCTAACCTTTTAGAACTCAAAAAAGGGGGAAACCCCCAAAATATAATAAAATAAAACTAACAACATAAAAACGTGAAGCTGTCTAAAGTCTCTGGTGGAACCTGCCGAGCTGACCCCAATGGCCGGGGGACTCACCTGGGCCTCAATAGAGGTCTTCAGAACTCACAAAGATTTCCTTGATACGAGATTTGTTGGAACTGGAGCGCTCGACATTTATAAATTAATTTTCGCTGGTGCAGCCAACCAACTAATTTGTTGACATGTTAACACAAGCAGGCTGTTCCCTGAAGTGGCTGCTTGATCTAACAGCGCAGCAGGAGGTCACGGCCAGGCATCCTGGACCCGGAGAGTTTTCCCTGATGCTGTGACTTAATCACGGCATGCCTGGCCCTTCCCAGCCACAGTGTGCTCAGGTGTGAGTTCAGCCTGCTTCTGAGCGGGGCCACGTGCTGGCCTTCGGGAGCTTGGACAAGGGCCTTCCAGCTACATTGCGTCTGTCACCCCTGCACGACAGACGGAGGGTAGACAGGGACAGAGCTGGGCCAGATTCTGAGTTCAGAGCAACATGACAGGCACTGGGCTGTGCTGAGAGCAGTGGATTCTGTCTGGGCTGCACCCAGAAGTCACGGCCTTCACGGAGGAAGGAGGGCAGCCAGGGGACTGGAGGCTGTGCCTCTGCGTGGACAGCTGGGCAAGGCCCTGGGGCCCCAAGGACGTAGGGGTTCTGGGTGCTTCCCTACTGCCCTGCCCCGAGATGGGTTGGACACTGCCAAGGTCCTGAGGTTCTGAGCCAGCTGTGGGCTGGCTCTGCAGTGTGGTCACCTGGCCCAGGGCAGCTCATGCACATGTAAACACACACACACGCACACATATCTGCACAGTACATACATTCACATGCACACACAAGTACACATCTACACAAACACATGCATACACATATCTATACACATGCACACACAAGCATATACCCAGACAACATATATCTACAACACTATACACACATCTACATGCACACATGTCTTTATACACACGTGCATACCACACACACTTGTGCCTGTTAAGGGCCTGTCCACGCCTCCACTCCTGTCCAGCAGTCCAGCTGCAGCAGAGTCCTTGGAGGCTCTGAGACTCACCTTCCTCTTTCCCATGATTCCTTCAGTGGGCACTCAGGGTGCTCATTCCCACACCAGTTAAGTGTGGGAATGTGTGTGTGTGTCCATGCACGTGTGTGCATGTGCATCTGGCCCTGCGGTCAGGGCCGTTGTGAGCCTCATGGCCAGTGCAGAGCCTGCTGTGACCCACCCATCTCCCCTCGTGCCCCTACCTTGGTCAGGTGCAGCTTCCCGCCAGAGCCTCTGGTGCAGATGATGAGGTGCTTGGAGAACAGGAAGCACTGCCGCTCACCCTCTTTCTTCAGGGACAGTGAGCCCAGGCGCCCCCTGGTGATCTTGCCCTTTTCAGACATGGGCACCTGGATGAGGGAACCTGCAATGCAGAAGAGACCCTGACCCCTGCTTCCAGGGTGGCAAGTGGCCTCTGATGGGCTTGGATGGGAAGGCAGCATTGGGGGCCAGGGGACAGGGCCAGATCCTGACAGAAATGCCTGGGGACCCCCTTGCAGTCCTCCTCTGCTAGTAGTTGGTGTGCAGGGGCCAAAGGGTACTGCCCAGTGGTGAGAGTGAAAGCAGCGAGGTCTGAGGGGTGCAGCTGAACAGGTAGCAGTGGACAAGAAGCCCTGAGGATCACTAAGGGTTGGTGCACAGCAAGCCCACACACCCATGCAGACACCACTAGTCAGTCATGCCCTGCACTGCAGAGTCTAGGCCATGCCCCCACCTGACACAGGCTCTGGGGGCCTCCTTTTCCCTTGTCCTCAGGACCCTGGAACCCCCATTTTCTGCCTGGCCTGGTAGAGGCCTGCCCCCCTGCACCTCTCCCCACAGTCTGGAAAACCCTTCCTCATTCCATGGGGCGAGCCCTGCCTGCTCTTTCCTGGGGAAGCCCTCTGAGACCCCAGCCCTGCTCTGGCCACACTCGACCTGCTGCCTCTGGGATGTACCCTTGTATGGCTCTTCCTGGGTCTCCCAACACAGGCTGCTGGAGGGTGAGTGGTTCCACTCTTTATGAGACCCTAGGCCCTGGCTCAGGCAGGGCAGCTGTGGGAAAGGGGTCACTGGAATCACCTGTCCTGCCTGCAAGCCCACCTGGCCTGCTGCAGGGAACAAAGGCTGTTCCTGGGCAGCAATGGATAGGTGCCCAGTTTGTAAAGGCATTGCTCTCTTGGGTTCCTGCAGAGAGGGCCGAGGTGCCATGTGGGGTTGCTTCTAGCATGGGAGGTACCTCGTGCAGGGAGCTGGGGGACAGCCAGGTCGGCTCTGGGCCAGCACGTCACTCGGTGGCTGAGAGGAGGGCAGTGGGCCACACACGACTGACAGCAAAGTTACAAGGGCAACAGATCCCTCCCAAGGACAGTGAGCAGCTCTTGCCAGTTTTTCATGGACATGAGGGCTATGTGGACAGGACTTGGGAGGTCCATTTAGAGGCGGCCACCACCCTGAGGGCCACCTGGAACGTGAACAAGTGACCTTCAGATGCATCAAGGTGAGTGTTGGACCTTAAGCCATGGTGAGGTCTACAGGGCAGCCTGCCAGGATGGCAGGACCAAGCCTGGTACCCTCCCTCCTCAGGGGTCCCCCAAATGCCTATGACTTACACGGTCAGCCACTGTCTGTACTCATCCCCTGCCTGTGCTCTGCTCCCCCAGAGGACATGTCAGTGTTTACAGTGGAAGAGCCGGCATGGCCCAGCACACTCCCAGTCACACAGCCAAGCTGGAGGGCGCTGTCCTGGAGGGTGGCGGCACACAGGCAGGGCGCACCTTGTCTCACGAAGGTCTGGCTGGTGTCCAGAAGGATCTCACAGCCCTCAATGATCATGCGCTCGATGGCCAGGTTCTTCCGGATGTTCTCAGTCTCACTGACTTCGTCGTGCATTATTCTGCAGGAACAGGAAACAACACAGCCGTACGCAGGCTGCCCCACTGTCCCGCTTCCCGCTGAGGAGGGAAGGCAGCCTCTTCAGAATCAAAGGCTGGCACTGAGATTCCCCAGTGGGCCTGTGGTCAGGCTGGGAAGGGCACGGGTTTGGAGTGGGGGGGGGGTGGCCCTGTGCTCCTGGACCACCCAGGTGTGAGCACTGCTACCTGACAGCCCAGGAGCCCGTTGCTTTTACTCCAGAAAAAAACAAACAGAAGCATGGAGGCTTGGTTGTCTCTAACGCTGCTTGAGGCCTGGAATGGCTTACATTTTTGGAACACCTAGAATCCAACAGACTGAGGGAAAGATTACCCTCAGCCCACCACCTCTGTGGACCCTTGCCCTTTTGGGAGGCAGGAAATTGAACAACACCTCTTTGCTCTGGTTCTGACTCCTGCCACACCCCGACTCTCCAGGAGATGGCGACATTTAACTGCTTCTTAGAAACAACCTTGGCGGGAAAAGGTGGCTTTTAGCTGCCATTTTTAACTAGGTGGTTTTCGAGGATTCTTAGGGCAACTGTGAGTCATTCTGAGTGCAGGGTTAGGAGAGGAGGCTCCGGAAAAGTACTTCACCTCTTTCAAGAAGAGCACAAACTGATTTACCTGCTGATGCTTGAAAGTTTACAGTCAGAGCACCAAGAGGGCTGGTTAATATGTGTGGCAGGCACATTCTCCAGTTGAAGCCTCACAGAAGAGAAAGGTGACCTTGCTGGAGTGGGATCTGTACTGAGCCCAATCAGCCTGACCTTGAGCAAATGGCAGTCCTATGTAGGACGTGGGGGTGGAAGTTCGAGCAGCCCAGGTGACAGCCCCACGCCTGACACACAGTAGGTGCTGGGTGGCTGGGGTCAATTCATCACTAGCACTGGTGGCAAAAATGTAATTTTTTTTTCTGTTTTAGGGCTTGCATGTCAGGCTTAAACTCATTAGACTATTTATTATGCAGACTAGGACGTCTAACGGGCCTTTCCTTCAGAAGCCGCAGTTTTCCCCATCTTCTCTACCAATACTCCTCTGAGAAGCCCAGGGCATCTAGGCACAGACTGGCTCTTTGGAGATGGGCACCTGGCTGGAAGCAGCCATGGGGATGAGAACCACTTCTCTTGGTGAGGGTGGGATTTTCCTAAGGAGGCTGCAGTTCAGAGCACAAGGGTGACTTCGAAGTACCAAAATGAGGCTCCTGTATGAAGTGCAAACTGTAGCTGGGCAGAGCAAGCGCTGCCCAGGCTGAGAACTATCTTGGGGACCCATCTGTGCACACAACTGGGGAGCCCTGGGAGGGTTCCTGGGGACCCTAGAGTGATGACATTGCTTATCAGGGAGTGCAGAATGAGGGTCCAGGCACCGGAGGGAGGGAAGGGTGGTCTGTCTAAGGTCTTCCTCTGCTCACTGCCCCATAGGAAGAAGAGGAAGATGAAGGGGCTGTCATCATGGTGACAGCAAAACCCTCCTCTAGGCCCTTAGGGCTGAGTGCAGTACAGGTGGGTGCGTGGGAGAGAGAGCAGGGTGCCCGGGAAGACCCTGGGGGAGGGGTCAGGGCCTGGGCCAAGCGTCTCTACAGGTCTGGGGTCCCAGCCTTCTCCCTGGGGAAGAGTGAGCAGGGGCTGACCCTTCACTCAACAGGACCCCAGCTTCTTCTTTCCTGTGAATGGCTTCGCTCCTCACACTCATACCCGGATGACAGCTGGTCCATCCCAGGTCTGTCACTCAGCCGGTTCATGGAAAGATCGGGCAGCATGTGCTCTGCCTGGACAGTGTTGGTTGTGCCTCTGCGCAGGGGGGAGTCCTAGCCTGCCTGGCAGCCCCTGATGGACCTAGGAAGCTGTTCAGGGCACTGCTGGGCCTTCACCCTCTGCAGACCAGCCTCTTTGGCAGCTCTGGCAGCATCTCTGACTGCAAGCCCCTCCTGGCCAGTCAGCCCCTATGTAGTGGGCAGCCTGCCTGGGTGGTGAAGCCTGCAGGGTGCTTCAGGGGACTCAGTTTCTCCTGCTCTTCTGTCCAAACTCACTCCCCTGGTGATGTACCCAGTGCGGGGCCTGAGGAATTGCTTCATCTCTCAATCTTGGACGTCACAAATCTCAAGTTTAACGCTCCCCAGGGAGTCCTGACCCCTCCGAACCTGCCTGTCCTGCAGTTTCCTCCACCTGGGTCAATGGCAGCTCCATTCTCTGGTCGCCACTTACAAACCCTGGTATCACCCACTTATAATCCATAGAAATCCCCTGGGCTCCCCCCCTTTAAGCTGCACCCAGAATCTGGATGTCTTGAACCTCCCTGGGGCTGCTCTGTCCCCACAGCGGAAGTCTGGACTCTGGGGCTGAGAGAGGGCAAGGTAAGGCTGTGTCTGGAGGATGGGATTTCTGAAAGGGCTCAAGGCAGGTGCATTTGCCCATTACTACCTGCTGTGGATGGGAGCCTTTGGCCAGGAGTGCCTGCCTGGCCTCCAGAACCCAGAGAACAGAAGGAAGCAGAGCCCTGGGGGCTCCTCTGCTGGAAAAGCACGTGTGTGGCTGGGGCCTCTTCAGACTCCATCAGTGCCAGAACCCTGCAGGACTCCCCAGGGTACTCCGCTTTAAGGGGGGCAGGCTGTGTCCCCCAACTCCCACCTGTGGACCCTCCACCTAGCCCATGCCACAGGGTCCTCACCTGGACAGCTCCTCCAGTTTAGACTTGGCATAGTCCAGGCTGTTGCGTTCCACGTGCTCGTGGGGAGTGTGGGCCAGGAGCTCATGCAGTGTCAGGATGTATCTGGGGATCTGTGGGTGACAGGGATGTGGAAGACAGAGGGCAGGGAGTGGAGAGCAGTGAGATGGAGGGAAGCGAGGCACAGACGCAGGCAGCTCCTGGGCTGGGGCTGGGACCCTGCTCCGTCTGTCCCCAGCAGACCTGCTTGGCCCATGGGTGGTCTGTGCCTCCCTCCCTTCTGGCCCAGCACGCTGCTGTGTCCTCATGTCCCCCATCTCTCCCGTGAGGTGGCGCACCTGGAACATGGGGTAGGTGAGGAAGGTCTCCAGTGTCCTCTCTTCACAGTCGGGCTTGGCCTCATAGTGCTTCAGCAGCTTGTCGAAGTCACGGTTCTGCTTGCAGTGGGCCAGGATCTGCAGGCTGTACTGGTGGTTCCGCACAAACTCCTGGTAGATGTTGAGCATGGGCAGCAGGATGTCGAACAGGTCCGCTGCAAGGAGCAGGGGTCAGTGTGGCCTGGGTCCCACAGGCCTGTGGCAGCTGCACCCAGGAGGGGGCCAGGTCCCAGTCCAGAGACTCTTCCTGCAGTGATGTCGGGAGGGGGTGGGGGGGGAGCCCCCAGAGTCATGGTGACCCATGACCAGAGGGCAGGAGGCAGGAGGTGCCGGCTGTGGGGTGTGGCCTGCACACCCCCCAGCAGTCGGGCCTTGGCCCAGGGCATTTCTCCAGAGCTTCTCCTTGCTCTACCTGGCCCTGCTCTGGTTCCCTCCAGGACTCTCCTCCCAGAGTGCCTCTTTCTGGGGGCACAAGCTAAGTCAGCAGCTAGCTCTGAGCTGGGGCCTCTGAGTTCCCCATTCCAGGACTTCCCACCCCGGCAGAGCTCTGGTCTGTCTGTCCTCATCCTGGGTATAGATACTCCACCCTCAAATCCCAACCAGTCTCCCCAAACCTGCCCTGCAGCATTTGACAGGACAGGGTGAAACCTCTTTCTATGAACTCCATTTAACATCTGGAGGAACCTGTGCTCCCTGCAGTCAGTGCTGACCAACAGGAGCCATTAGCATTAGGGTCAGAGTTGCAGCCCAAAGCCTGGCATCTGCAGGGAGGGCAGCCCTGTTTTACTCTGACCCTGATGAAAACCAGGAGAAGCACAAAGAGTGCTGCTGCCGAAGCCTCCTTTCCCAGCCAGCAAAGCTCGGGGGTCACACAGTGTCTACCCTGTGGCAGCTGCTTCCTGATTCTGTCATGAAGGTGACACCGACTCCACCTTCACCCAAAAGATAGAGGAAGCAGAGAAAATGCTAGTACCCGGAGCAGGTGTGGATGAGATGCAGGACATCCTGCCATCCTTCCTCCTAGTGCCTGGGCAGCACAGCCTTGGGGACAGCAGAGGCGCAACAGGGATAAGCAGAGCCTTCAATGAGCTTTTTGTTTCTGGAAATCTACTTTGGAAACTCATCCCAGGAACAGTCTCCAACAGGGAGAAACCTTCATAGGCAGAGGTGGTCGTGTCTGAGAGTAGCAACTGGGAACAGCTCTGAGACCAACAGTGGGAGCCACAGCCCAGATGGTGGCAACATCCAGGTCCTGGGGCACACAGCCCTCACAGTGCTTTCAGCATGAGAAAACATTCCTGCTAGAATGTTCACTGAAAACAAAACAAAAACCTAGGCAACATTTAAAGATTCAAACCCTGTAATCAGTGTGTTTGCAATCATGTAAAATGGAGGGGAAAACTCTCAGGACTGGATGCATAGCAAAACCCAGAGTTAAGCACACAGCTTCTATGGTGGTCATCTTTGGAAAGGAGAATGATGGAAGATATTTTTAAACTTTTCTACTTCACTGGGTTTTTAAATATTCTCAAGTAGGTATGTACACATTCTTTTCCAAAGGGAAAAGTAGATAAGAAACTAAAAATATAACACCTCTCCTGAAAGTCAGCTTTTCCCAATTCATCTTTCCTTTCTGTCCCCTGGGGATTCTGTGGGGGTCGAGGGTGCCACTTGGTGGTGCCATTGAAGGATAGAGCCTCCCTCACCTCCAGGGTGGCCCTTGGGAGGGCCCTGTGGACAGCAACCAGGTTGGTACTCACCCAGGACCAGTGTGGGCCAGCTGGAGATGCGGGCCTTCAGGCCCTGATAGAAGATCTGGTGCAGAAACATGATGGTTTCACTGCAAGAGAGAGAGCAGAGGCTGAGCTCTGGCCAAGGGACTCCCTACCCACCTAGAGTGGGCCCCGACACTGCCTCCTTCCACAGACTATGCAGGGGCAAATCCTGTCCTCTGTGAGACTCTTCCCTTCCCTTTCTTTCTTCCCCGCCTCTCCCCTTCTTTCCCTCTTTGCAGTACTGGTGATTGAACCTAGGGTTTCTGCACTGAGCTACATCCCCAGCCTGACAGGGTCTGGCTAAGTTGCTAAGTTGCCCAGGCTGGGCTCAAACTCACCATTCTCCTGCTTCAGCCTCTCGCCGTGCAGGGATTATAGGTGTGTGCTACCACCCCCTGCTGTTATGCTTTCTGTGTAGGGTCCATCAGCAGGACGGAGGACATAGAATGCTTGGGGCAGGGACAGATGCAAATATGTCCCCTGTGAAACCTTTCGTAACCTTGCAGAATGGGGACAGCAGAGCATCACACCAGGCTCCTGGATGCCTGAGGTCCTGTGCCACGAAGCTAGGAGGAGGCCAGGAGCTGCTCTGGCTTGTGTCTCTCTGTGTCCCTCAAACCCCTACCTGCTGGACCCCTGAGATACATGGAGCGAGAGGAACAGCTACTGCTGATGTGAGGAGAGAGGGCTGGGGATCCCACAGAACAGGGTCCAACCACCTTACCCCTTCCCAGCTGGGACCTGAGCCAGGTGCCTGACACTTGGAGCTGCAGTCCTTCTGTGCAGAACGTGAAGGTGAGTTAAGAGTCACCTGCAAGTCATGGATGCCACTCTTCGAAGGCTGCTCCCTGCCCTCACTTTGGGAATCGAAGTCAGAGAGGCCAAAAGACTCAGAGTTCCAGCTGCTAAGCCCCAGATTGGTGCCATGTGAAGCAGTCTGGGACACTGCCCAGGTCATCCTGGCCTCACCATCTGCCTGCTCCCCTCTGCTCCCACCAGGTAGCTGATGGAGCCTGGCCCTGGCACTCCTCTTATAGGAGCACTTGAGATAGGAACAGAGGGGACAGCCCAGCCTCCATGTTGCCAGGACACCTGTCCTCCCACCTCTCTGCTCCAGCTCCTACTATCTGGAGACCAGGGGTTTCCCCAAAGAGTCTGGGAACTTTGTAGAGCACACCACGTATGGACAGGGAAACTGAGGAGAGCAAGATCCCTGGAGTCAAGGGGAGCCCTGGGGTCACTTTTTCCTGGCCACATTCTGCACAGCTACCCTCTGCACTTGTCCTGCAGCTGGGTGCTTGCTTCCTGCTGTGGGACGCAGTCCTCAGAGTTGGGGTGCTGGGGAGGTGCTGAGCAGGTAGCCACCCCAGAGACACCCTTGAGCTGTAGCAGAGGTACAGGAGCCTGGGGGCCAGCAGGGGCCCAAGGACAGAGGGGTCCCGAGAGCCCAGAGACTCACAACCCAGAAGGTTGGAAATGTCCTCTGAGCCTGCTCTTCAGGGACAGGTAGGGTGGAAAAGATGAGGGAACAGAAAAAGACAGTGACCGGAACACAGCAGCTCCCACTGAGGGACAGCTACGGACTCCATTAGACCCCACAGCATGTAAGAGGAAAGGAAAGTCTACACAGACTGAAACCAGCAGGAGCCTACACTCCGTGGGGGATACTTCCCGGGTGACTGCTCATTTTTGATCAGGGACCCATCGTTATTGTGGCTATCTGTGGTCTCCCTAGAGTCTCCAAGGGGACCTCCAGGCAGGGCAGTGTGGCCCTGCAGGGCAGGGTTCAGTCTGGAGTGGCCTGTGGACCAGTCTGCTGGGTGGACACACAGGTACCAACTGTGAGAAGTTTGGCTGCCCTCATGAAGGTCCTTCAAGACCAGGAGACCAACCAAGGGGAGCACAGGGCCACACAGAGGAAGGACCTCGGCCTGAGGTGGGCATGGTGGTCAGGGGACTTTTGTAGGTTCTTGAGGGGGCCATACACAGGATCTTTTTTTTTTATTGGTACATTTTAGATATACATAATGACAACATTCATAGGGAATTTGTGCCTCATACACAGGATCTTGATATACCTCTAGATCCTTCTGGAAACCCCTGAGTACTACTCCAGCCAAACTCAGGGGAGCTCCAGCAAACACTGCTCAGGACACAGCAGGGAGGATACGGCCCTGTGTACATTCCAGTATGCATAGGCTTGAGACTGGCAAACTGGGACCCTCATAAGCTAGAACTGTAAAAATATACAGGTACACCTCAGAGATACAGCAGTTTGGCTCCCCAGAATGAAACAGATAGGCCAATAGGTCCAATGACATGGATGTTTTCATTTCCCAGTGGACATAAAAGTTATGTTTACATTGCACTGTAATCTACTGACTGTAACTGCATTATATTAAAATGTAAATACACTAGTTAAAAACACTTCATTGTTAAAAGGTGCTAACAACTCCCTTGCTTTCAGGGAGTCCATCTGCTTGCTGGAGGGCGGGGTGTGTCTTGCTTTGCTGTTGGTGGCTGGAGCAATTTCTTAAAATGAGACAACAGTGGCCTCTGCTGCCTCAGCTGACCCTTCCTTTCATGACAGTTCCTCCATAGCCCACGGAGCTGTTTGTCAGCATTTTACCCATAGCAGAACCTCCTTCAAAACTGGAGTTAGTCCTTCCCCTCAAATCTCCCTCTGCTTTATCAACCAAGTTCTTGTAGCATTCTCAGTCCTCTGACAGTTCAACGGTGTTTCCTCATCTTCTCAGGGAGTAGATTCTACTGAAGAAGCTTCTTCTTCTTTTTTTTTTTTTTGGTACCGGGGATCAAACTCGGGACCTGTGAGGCAGGTGGGGGCACCACTGAGCTAAATCGCCGGCCCCTGAAGAAGCTTCTTCCTTTGCTCACCCATCAGAAATGGCTTCTGGGATTGCAGCAGTTCAGCACATTCTCAGGGTCTATTTCAAATTCTAGTCCTCCTGCCGTTTCCACCATCCCTGCCATTCTTTCTACCCCTGAGGTCCCCTCGAGCCCCTGAGTGATCCATGAGGCCTGGGCCAACTTCTTCCACACTCCTGTTAGTGTTGCTATTCTGACCTCCCCTCATGACTCATGAATGTTCTTAAGGGCGTCTAGAATGGTGAATCTTTTCCAGGTTTTCCTTTTACTTTGTCCAGATCTGTCAGAGCAATCACTACCTGTGGTAGCTACAGCTTTATAAATTGTATTTCTTAAATAAACTGGACTTGAAAGTCAAAGTTACTCCTTGATCCAGAGGCTGCAGAATGGTTGTTGTGTGGCAGGTATGCAAACAACCTTAATCTTGTGCATCTCTATCAGAGTGCTTAGGATACCAGGTGTGCTGTCAAGATGCAGCCATATTTTGAAGGGAATCTTTTTTCTGAGCAGTAGATCTCAACAGTGGCTTAAAAATGTTCAATCATGTTGTAAACAGATGTGCTGTCTTCTAGACTTTGCTATCTCCTTAGAGAGCACAGGCAGAGTGGATTTAGCATGGTTTTTAAAAGGCCTTGGAGTTTTGGAAAGGGAAAGGAATTCTGGCTTCGACTTGAAGTCACCATCTGTGTCGGGTCTAACAAGGGAGTCCCCTGTCCTTTGAAGCTCTGAAACTAGGTACTGACTTTCCCTCCATAGCTGTGAGAGTCCTAGGTGGAGTCTTCTTCCAACAGAATGTGGTTTTGTCTGGATCAAGAATCTCTGTTTGGTGCAGGTGCCTTCGTCAATGCTCTTAGCTGGACCTTCTGGACAATGCACTGTAGTGGATACCTCAGCACTTGCTGCTTCAGCTCCTGTGTTTATCAGCCTTCCTGCTGCTAACTCCACCAGGCACACACAATGTAAGGGAGGAGAGGTTTCATTTTAGCTCATGGTTTGGGAAGATTCAGTCAATGGTCTGCTGGTTCCAAGGCAGGAACACCATGGCAGAAGGATGTGGTGGAGCAAGGCTGCTTAGCTCTTGACAGACAGGAAGTGGAACAGGAGAAGAGTGTCAGGGAGGAAGGGGTGAGGTAGCAGATATAGGCCCCAGTGTCATACCTCTGTGACACATCCAGACACACCCAGAAGTGTGCTCCACCAATCCCTGGATGGATTCCAAAGCCAATCAAGTTTCCATTCTACCCTGACCACCACTCCTTCTATGGTATGGAGGCTGCTGCTTTCCTTAAACCCCATGGACCAGCCTCTGGCAACTTCAAACTTTCTTTCTTCACCTTTATCAACTTCCACAGAACTGAAGACTCAGGGCCTTGCTTGGGATCAGTCTTTGGCCTGAGGGATACATCCAGACCTGCATGCTTTCCTCACTGAGTGTTATCATTTCTAGCTTTTGATTTAAAATGGGAGACACCCAACTCTTCTTTACTTGAACACTTAGGGGGTGCTCTATGGTCATCAATTGGCTCAGGAAATAGGGAGACTGAGGGAGGGGAGACAAGTCAACATCCAGGAAGCCAAGTGATCAGGACACTCTTAGTGCTTACCAGTTACATCCGCCATCTTATGAGGTGCAATTCATGGGGTCCTAAGCAATCACAACAGTAACAGAGAAGACCACTGATCACAGGTCAGTATGACAGGTATGGTAATAACAAGATAATACAGTTTGAAATATTGTAAGGATTGCCAAAATGTGACAGACATGAGCTGAGCACCTGCTGTTGGAAACTGCCTGGCAGACTTGGCCCAGACTGATGTGAACCTGCCGTCTGTGAAGTAGAGAGAGGCGGCGTTTACAGTGCAAACTTTGAGAATTTCATCTGTAGTCTCACTGCTCAGAAATGACTATTGTTACCCATCTAATAGAAAATAAATCAGCCCGACCTAATTTGCTTAAAAAAAAGTTACTGTTAGTGGGTTGGTGGGACATTTCTCCTGTATCTTGGCCATTTGTATTTTTTCTCTTGGGCATTTCCTGGACAAGCTCACTTGCTCTTTTCTCTCTCGTTAATATTAAATAACTCTATTAAGCGGATAGTTTGGCACATACACCGCAAGCCTCCGTGCCAGGCTATTTGCCCACTGGCTTTCCATTTTGCCTTGTGAAGTGCGGCCTTTT